TGTTACTCAACGTTTTAAAACTGTGTTCATGGTGAAATAGCTTCGCAAAAATCAATCAACATCGCCTCGATATTTTTTCCCTCTGGGCATACACATTCATTCCGACCGAGTCATAATTATAACGCCGAGCTATACTTTAAACCGTCCCTGAACCTGAATGCACTATAGCCTGCCTGGATAGCTCAGATGGTTAGAGTGTCTGCCTCACAGTGTACCCACCGGTGGCAAAGTGGGTTTGAGTCACTTAAGGCGCTCGTTATTTGTTCCTGACTGGGATAGCCAGTGGCAGCGTCTGCGGTAACGGTCAGAGGACGTCGGAGGGCAAGGTGGACCGTGCTGAGCATTGCGGCAGCTAAACTCTCGCCGTCAAATTCCGCTGCAACCTAAAATTGTGTGATCGGATGGTGGGATCAAGGTTCATGCGACAAGCACTGCTTAGCATGGATGCTCTCTCTCGAAATACACGCAACCGGAATAGTAAGACTTCTAATTACATGTATCTAGAGTTTTTTACTTGACTTTACTGAGACCTTTTGTGATCGGGTGGTGGGGCCAAGTTCATGCAACAAGCACTGGTTAGCATGGATGGTCACTCCAGAAATGCAAGCAATCAGAAGATTAAGACTTAATCTTTGAAAAAGTATGGCAGCCCCCGTCACAGCACATTGCAATTCGACTCGCACCATGACTATTAAAAATCACCCATTATATCACTAATGCGGAGAACGGTTTGTATATCTTGTGCCTGGGTATGCCCTGCGAAACTACCGTTTACACAGAAAGGCCAGATAAAAGCTATCTCACGGTTAAGTCGACAGTGACAAGCGTATTTTTTTTTCACACAATCAAGACCGTGGTGATATTCGGATGACCGTTCAATGGCAGAACGTAATCAACGATGATGGCAGTCATCAGTGATCTCACTTTCGTCAAATCGTGACTCTCCAGAAGATGCTCCTTTTAAGACAATAACCAGGATCCAATCAACGCCACCTCGCATTGGCGCCACAGAAAATCCCTCGGAGCGCTACATCGCTACCGCTCCGGCACCATTCTAGGCGACCCTGCGGCGACTTCATGGGATCGATCGGGGCAAAGGGGGGCTCCGGCAGAACGCAGTGACACCGCAGACGGCACGGACTTCACTGGACTGGTTGGAGGGGCGCTTCTCTGGAATGCATATGAGTTGAAGTTTGCCGCTTGCGTGGCTTCGTCTCGCCCGAACCATCGCCCCTTCATGAGGTGGGGCGACATGAAAAACCACGTCCGCGTGGACAAGCCAGCAAACCTTCAGGAGTTTAAAGGCTCCTTCACACTTGAGATGAGATGCACCGCCGCCGGCTCGGTCAGCCGGGCAATCGGCCACCAGCAGCAGGTTCGGCTGTTGCGCACGCTGGATCACTAGGCGCTCATCTGGAGCATCTTTTGTGCTGGTGATCTGACGGATTTGGGATCTTTAATGGCTACCACTGCCACTGCTCGCGTTTTGCTATTGGATTAACGGCCAATTGCCACCGCTGTCACGATCGTGCGATAAATACACTTGCCACTGTTGCAGAAAACGCTCGTTATCTTTTATCTGGGCCACGCTGCGCTTCAAAACGCTGCCGCATGCTACACATTTTTTCCCTATCCATCTGTGTTTATCGTGAAAATCTGTCTTTTTTGCCAACTGACCTAATACATGGGCGAAGAGGCATACCAAACCTGCCAGGTACCTGCAGGACATTTCTTACTACGAAATGAACATAAACTGATGGTGATGTGTTTAGGTACCTACACAGCATTTGAGATGCAATTTTTGCATTTCTTTGGTTCGGTATTCCCTTTTGTGCTCACATCCATTTAGGCGGAAGGTGTCTATCAGGGAGAAGCATTGGGGGGGGGGGGGGGACTCAGGTCAGCATCGGGAGGGGAGGGGGAAGGCTTGCACCTCCCGTAGTATATAAAATTTATTTGTGTATTTGTTTATTTATGACATAAGCATTCCACAGGCAAAAACCCAATTGCGGAAGCAGTTGAGTTTTAAGAACAATAAATATACGATGCGCACACAAACAAAAAACCTAACCAAACACACACAAACGCACCCACACACTACATGCAGTCGTATATCAAGCTATCAGAAGAATGTCCCACGCGTATCGGTGAACCTAAACAAATCAGACCGGAATGACTCTGTTGGATGAAAAAAGTCAGTTGAGGGAGAACCGTGCAAAAATTGATTGCAGACAGCGGGAAGTCGTGCGATTAACCGATTTCTAACAGTGTTGACCACTGAAAATGGCACGTGGAAAAGGCCAATAAGTTGAGAACGCCGGACGGGTATAGCCAAACCGAACATTGATGTTAGGTAAGCGAAGTCAAGCCTGTGATGATATGCGTTGCATAGAAATAAGATGTCAGACTGAGCATAACGTGCCTTAATAAACACCGTTGTGAAGAAAGCGAGAAGAAGCTCATAATCCAGGAGAGGACACCGGGACTGGCTACTCGAACCCAACCACATGAGAAAGCGGTGTTATAGTCTTTCGATCCGGGCGAGTTGGGAAACGGCAGCACCGCTCCAAATAAGACTACTGTAATGCCCCCGGACGCATGATTATATATGAAAAGCACCATCGTCCCTCATAACAACATCATCCAGGTGTTTCCTAAAGGATACGGCACGCTTCACAATGCCGACGTTTACATAGTCAGAACGCGGGCCTGACCCAACGGCGGTGGGGTACCCCAGCGCGAGTGTCACACCTTGCTCCTGAGAGCTTCTCTCTTCGTGGCTTCTCCCGGCTGGGGCTGGTCTCTCGACCGGTTCTTCTGTCGGCCTCTCGACCGATCTCTCGACCGCCCCCCGTCTGGGCTCTCCCCAGCTGGTCTCTACCCGCTGATCCCGGGAGACCGAGGGAGACATCTGCTGGCTCACAGCTCGAGACGCAACCCATCCACGGCGCGCACCTCTAGTTTGCGACGATATACGCCAGGGCCAGCCGCCGCGCGGGAGACATGTCACCACGTCATGTCACACGCGTCCACCGAGTCGGTCTCGGTTCATGCAGATGTGCTGCAATGCCTGCCATCTACAGGAGAGCTTGTGCACTGCGGCTTCCAGGTGTTGTTCGAAGGTAACACTAGGACGGGCTGCAGCGCCAGCGCCAACCGAACGACGCTAGAAGCGCTTCTTGTCACTGCCCAGACAGTGCTGCCACGACGGTCATGAATGAACTCTTGGAGAGACGCGGGAAGGGGCATCAACCAAAAGGGTCAGTCAACATGGCGTGGAGCGCTCCCTTTGCGCAAAGAGCATCAGCATAGAAGAGGGCTGAGGCACCAGGGGCGGTCACACGGTGGTATGGCGGGCCTCGGCTGCCGACACTGGGCGTGTCCCACCTCCCGGTGTCAAGCATGTTGTTCTCGTCCCCCATGTCAAGCCTCGGCCGCCGACACTGGGCGTGTCCCACCTCCCGGTGTCAAGCATGTTGTTTTTGTCCCCCATGTCAAGCCTCGGCCGCCGACACTGGACGTGTCCCACCTCCCGGTGTCAAGCATGTTGTTCTCGTCCCCCATGTCGAGCATGCCGTTTGCCCCCTGGTGTGCCCCAGGTCCGACCGGCAGTCGGCACGCACTGGGCGGGATGCGGGCACGCAGCCAGCGCTGGGCGGTGGTCATCCACTGCAAGATCAAGCGGGACGCTCCAGCTCCGACCGACCGCTAGCGGCTCGACGCTGTATCGCCTCGCCTCGTAGACCTGCGCCCTCTCGTCACGCAGAGCCGCGGTGTCTCGCCTCGCAAATTCATGCGTCGCCTCGAAGACTCATGCCAACTCGACTGGCAGTTCAGGCTCGCGGTGAATCGCCAGTTAGCCAGAGGGTTTAGATCACCGTGAGGCACCGGGTCGGGGCCAAGTTAGCTTTTTTGCGCACTCGAGGAGTTGTGCGATTTCCATTTATCTTTGCTCTATTCTACCCGCTGAACCACGGCTGAGTCGGTTGTAAGTAATCAGATCTGAAGGAATTGCTTTCAGCCTTGCCTGTTGCATGACATTTTTGCATGTAAAGGTCCTAGGCTTGGAAAACAATGAAACGTGGTCTGACCGTTACGAAGCAAATACAATACTGTGGTGTACTGTATATTACATTTTACTTGGAAACGGGTGAGGAAATGAGGAATGTGGAAAAAGGGTGTGGAAATGAGCAATGGGTGCCAGACCTACACCTTGTAGCTCTGATGTAGCCATTTAGGCTAAGCCTATGGCATGCCTGGATAGAGGTAGACACCGAAAGAGAGGTAGGCAGAATAATTGACAGTAGTCGAGACAGCCGGGCAGAGTGGCAGCAGGCAAGTTACATTCCCGGACAGGAGGACTGCGCAACCGGAAACAGGCAGTGACTCTCGAGAAAGGGAAGCGCGGAAACGGGGAACGGAGAGACGGAAGAGAAGCTGCTGCTAGGCAGTGTTACGGCAAGACACGGCGACGCGGAAACGGAGGAACGGAGAGACGGAAGAGAAGTTCCCGCGAGGCAGGGCGTCGCGTGAACAGAGGAACGAAGAGACGGAAGTACAACAAGACCAAAGGAGGGAATGTGAGGAGGCACCGGGAATGGTACGATGGAGGCTAAAGAGGACACGCTGAGGGACGGGGCACCGTTTGGTAGGTGGATAGTTGAAATCCCGCTAACCTTCACGCAGCAAACACATGCAAAGTTTTCCCTAAAAGATCGCTGTCAAACTGCACGCTAACATCGACAAGCAAAAAATGCAGCTGAGATATCCTGACCGAAAAAACATCGGAATTTGATTGAACTGAGAAGTGAAGGCATAGAGGCGAGAGCCTTCTCGTCTGTCAGACGAGAAACCAACAGGAACCAGCAAAATATGCTCACAGAACTTCAGGACTTGAGATTTGCTATTTACAGTCTTCTGGTTGGACGCGCCGCTCCACCTCACTTTATTTTGCACCGGCCACCGATTACGCCAACTGCGTTCATTTTCTTTGCCTTTACGAAATATCGCCACTAGCAATATTTGGTAGCATTAACGGAGGCGATTGTACGACAAAAATAACGCGACAAATACAAGTATGTTCTATGTTTTACCCAGAAAAACCTTCCGGAGACAGGAAAGAAGGGGCCTGCCCATTTTGTGTGCAGTTTTCATTGCATTTCATTTCATTGCTGTCCTGGTGCGATGTCTATCGACTCCAGTTGGGATGCTGAAAAATATCGTAATGAGCATGAACCTCCTGAGCATTGGGAATTGTGCAAGAAGTTTATGGAAGCTCACAAAAACGACTACCCAGAAAGCAAGCTTGTCAGCTTAGCTCAGGTGTTTGCCAATATGGAGTTCCTGGGATGCAGGTGAGATGGCTGTTTTGCAAGATCAGAATTGTGAATACCTTTCAGGCTTCAGAGACATTGGGAAGTTTGCTCTCAACTTGTCAGCTGGATAAGACAACCATTTCTGTAATTGGTTACTACAGTATGCTGTCCACCCATTCAGCATATCCTGGTTTAATTGCAGTCAGTGGTTGTTTATTTGAAGCTGTATTAGGGTGTTTTATTGCAGATCATCACCAATGAGCATTTGGCATCTGAATCCATTCACTGATCATTCATGAATGTTAATGTAATGTTACCACTCCTGAGTTCAGGCTGATAAAGATTTAGGTGTGTGCATACTCAGTAAGGAATAATACAGGGTGCTTTTTTAGTTAGGAGTGGGCTGTGCATGTATGGAACGTGCCAGACTGTGAAATGTGCTTGCAGGATTGGGGTGGTTCACTGGTGTTTATTGTCATTAACTGAATGTGGTCTCAGTGTAGTATACAGGTTCAAGAATGGAATATTGCTCATGATATGTGGATATCTATGTGCTTTTAAATGTATGAACAGCATTGTATCTTCTTTCTGATTTGTGTCCTCAATATTTGTTCTCATCAATCTCAGACCGTTTAATCGAAGTTCTGGAGTTGCAGCATTATGTTTCATGTTGAATATGTTTGTCAGTCATCACAGTATTATGTCAGTTGCATGGTGTGTTACACATAGTTGGGCTTTACACATGTAAGAAAGAAAAAGTGGAAGTATGTAAGCATTTTCTCAACCAGCAGCAGAGGTGTGCAGAGATGGCCAGTTTATCTGCACCTCCACAGTCATCTTACCTGTGTTCCCTTAATGAATGTGTCCTCAAAGAATGGTTCAAGGAGTGCTCAAGTGTTCATTGAATCAACTAAAATAAAGCTTTCATATGTCCTAGCTTGTAGAACACCCTTAACAGTGCCTCCCATTTTCAGTCCCTAATGTGTGACAAATACCTTATAAGTGCTTGGTTTAGTCAGATGGGAGATCTTCAGTGTCATTTTGGTGACTTGAATGCATTTGGTCACAAGGCCTGCCTACCTTCATCATTGGTGTTAGCGCGGCCAGCTCTATGCGTCGAGTTGAGAGGAACCTTGGGCTTCAGGTATCCCCAAGAGACAATGGATCTGGTCAATGAGCTGGCTGCCTGGCGTCGTGGAGGACTTCCGGGAGCAACGCAAGTCCAAGATTCAGAGGACCTTCATCGGCGCGTCGTCCGCGGCGGAGGCCAAGGTCAAGCGAAGCAAAACTCTGCCCCCGCCGGCACACATCAAATGACATGTCGCCGGTGCGATCTCAGCAGTCATACGCACCTGCTCGCTCGTGGCATCGTGACCGGTGGCCGGCGTAGATGGGATCGCGTCAGGTGATAAGATCTACAGCATGTTTGCGCCATCGTTGTCGTACCTTTTTACGATGCTCTACGCCAAGATTGACCGCATTCCGAGCGATGACTGCGTGCATCTGTGGAGTGAAATGTGTAATTTTTTAAAATACATAACGTCACAATTTGAGCGTCACCATTTTTGGTTCCGAATAGAGCTGCGAACCCAAACGGTGTCTCGAATCGAACGTAGCTGTGCCTTGCACAGTACGTGCATCGCAGCGGCTGCCCGCGACCATGTCCAACTCGAGAAAAATTGGTAAAAATTCGCAACACGGGCCTAGCTAATCGCAAACTATGTAAGTGTTGAAACCGCTAACTCACGCTTGAACAGACCTGAGTTCGATTCAGCTTCTTTTAGAATCGATTCACCGTTGATGGACGGCTATCGTCGAATGATTAAGTCTGATTCGATTCGTGGTTGTCTCATGAATAAATTCTGTGTTGATTCACTCTCAAGTTCGATGATTTAGTTCTGATTCAGATTACCATCTCGCTGTGTGAATTGATTCAGCAGTGGTTCATCCGGTGTTCAATGTTTGCGTGCTGATTTTGGCACATTTTAATCGACATCTTTTAATATCAAACTCAATAATAAGGACCAGATATCAGGAGAATGCAGGATGAAATAAGAAATGAAAATGGGAAAGCCAAGTGAATTGCTTGTACGCTTTCTTCAACTCATCACAATTTTCCACCGGTTCGGCTATTCTACATCAGTGTCCTACCTAAAGACGCCTGCTTTGCTCGTGTCCTGACTCACTGAGTCATGGGTAAGTGAAACAAAAATATGCAAACATTCCGTGCTTAATGAAGGAAATACCTATCGGTCACCAACTCAAAACCAAAAGACGGAACTCTAATTGATCATTTATCTCAGTTACCATCGTTACTTTACATGGTTTCTTCTCAGTTACCATAGTTACCATGTGGCAACCCGAAGCAGTTGCAAACAATCATTTCAACGCAACAAACAGGCAATGTTGGCAAATCATGATACAAGAACAACATAGAAACGGTCCATTTGACCTGCGTGTCGACTTTACTTGCGTCAGACCAAATCCAAGTTAATGATTCGTTTCATGATTCAATTTATATACGAAATAATTGATTGGCTTGACTTATCATGCAGTTCATGACTAACCGATCGATTCATCTTGCATCGAAGATAGGTCTGCCATGGAGATGCATCTTCTCTTTTCAAACAGTGCCTTAGGGCTGCGAAATGAATGCATCAGATGCGCGCGTGATAACCGAGTGCAGACGAGCGAAAAGTGATTGATGTGTGGATGATTAACATGTCGCCCTGAACATGCTGAGGTTGAAGACTGTCAGAGTACCGGCAGCAATAATGAGGCTATGCAGTCACTGAAGCCAAACACCAGTGAGGGCAGCAGGAGCGAGGCTATGCGGTCGCTGAACCCCAACACTATTGCCCAGTGAACAGGTCTGGTTTGCGATGGACGGGAGTTTTGTTCCATCACAATGCTCAGTAATCCATAGATTCCATAAATAAACATGCATGACAGGTGGGGTAGTTTAGTTTTCATTTGGAGCGAGCTCCGGCATCCACCCTTGAGAACAAAGTGAGTCGGATCGTTTGATAAACCACTTTGTTTACCACTTCATTTGCGTTTTATGAGGCTAGGTTTCACATATCTTTACTATTTTGCCCTTGTGCCCCCCCCCCCCCCTTTGCGAAACCGCGCCGATATAACAAAATGCGGACCAGGATTCAGAATTCACTTTCTGAACTCACTCCGGGGAGGGGGAGGGGGGGGGGGGGGGTTCTGGGCCAATAAGGTTGATCTAACCTACCCAAGAACTGGTCTGTCTCCGGATTTCAGTTTGCGTCACCGGTGATGAAAATAATTGCTTATACAATCATGATATTCCAGTTTGTTATACTGCGGAGGAACGAATTTCCATGCGGTTTATGTTTATGTTTATTCGGTAAGTTTATGCGAAACGGCGTGTTCATGAACAGCTTACAATGGAGTGTACTTCACAGAAGAAATCGACTTACTCGAGCCCTTGCTATCGACGAAGATCGGTCTCTTTTATAGTTCGAGCGCCTGGGGTAGCCCAGGCTGAGCATACACAAACGCCGATAGTCAGGCCGCGGCGCCATTGTTCAGACTAGACACTTATGTTCCGTCTCTCCTAAAATCTTCAGTGTATGACGGCGAATGTTATGGTAGAAGTTTAAAATACACCACGCCAGAATGTTCTCATTAAAGGTCCTCTAGCCCGAATACTCCACCTCACCGCGCACGCAGACCTACACGCGGCACGCGCCCCATAGCAACCGCGAAGATTTCCCGCGTCTATTATCATTACGTAGCAGAAACCTGCATCCGCTGGTGTGACGTGTGTTGAAACAGAATTGCTATCTTACAATCCATTTCTCGCAATCCTACATTTTTGGTTGTGCCTAATTGATGCCAACATAACGTACCTAATTATCAGACGTAAGCGCACATAAAGCTACCAACGTCGTTTCCCGTTCTGCTCACCGACACCCCAGCTCTCCGTCTACATTACAGCAGACACAATTCTCTTTTTTCAATTTATTTGCTCTTTACACGAGGCCTCCACGCAGCCAACGTCGCACGCGGCACGGCCTACTTCAGCTTCTTCTTCGGGCGGACGTGGTTCGTGTGGCCGCACTTGCGCTTCCTGCAGTTGGTCGCCCTCGGGTGGAGGCGGGCGTAGCACTTGCGGCAGATCATCTTGTCGCAGTTGTACTTCTGGGCCAGCAGGCGGAGCGTGGGTTCGATGACGCCGCCGCGCAGCCGGAGCACCAGATGAAGTGTCGACTCTGCGGACGACCACACAATCAAGTCCCCGGCGGAGGGAGTAGCGGCCCGCGCCGGCCGTTGGGACGAGCGAGGGGCAACGGCGCAGGGAGGAACACTGCCCTGACTCATCAGCCTGAATGGTAAAAGCTGATCACAAGGGAAAAAAATCTGGTCACCTCCCAGTGTGTCATTCCTAGTCAGTTGAGGTCAACATATACATAAAAGGCATGATGCAAATGCTATAACAGTACATGGTAGTTCCTTTGATGCAATGATAGACCTGGAAAGCCTCAACCCATATTGAAAGCTGTGGAGATAATCTTAATGAACCATCTCCCTGTGGGGACAATCATATGACTCCAAATCTGGCTCCAGACATCAGATCACTCATGACTCTCCAGCCACCTTACTCAATTCATTTCTGACCAAAGGCCAGTCATTTATTAATTAGTGAAAACCATTCAAGCAGAATACACCTTCCATGGGTTACACCCCTGTATGTTTAGTCTCAAATGCACTGTGTGCCAAACAGTGTCCTGCACTGTCATCTAGTCAGATGGGTAGATGCTATACACATGCAACAAAATGTCTGCACTAATAAGACAGCCTTGCCAATCACAAAGCAAGCAGGTGCTGACCACAAACATTCCAGCAAGCTGGGTCTTACCTTTCTGGATGTTGTAATCTGACAGAGTACGGCCATCTTCCAGTTGCTTGCCAGCAAAGATCAGTCTCTGCTGATCAGGAGGGATACCCTCCTTATCCTGAATCTTAGCCTTCACATTCTCGATTGTATCTGAAGGCTCAACCTCCAAAGTTATCGTCTTCCCCGTGAGGGTTTTAACAAAAATCTGCATGGTGCCTGAAATGGAAAACAATGAATCAATTTCCTAAAGTACATCATTGTGCAACTTGGATGAGAACCAAGGCTCCTCGCACGGCACCTGGGAAGGTTATCACTAATCATGAATCTTTCTACCGCAATTACCTTCAATACCTTTACTTTTTGGCTTCAAAATGGGATACACACACCAGAATCCATCAGAGCCTTGCCAGGACAATGGATAAAAAGGATGATCCTATCTGCCATGCAGATGAGTTCTTTATTGTTGGCTCTCTTGGCAGACTATGTCCAAGGCACATGAAGCAGCAATAGGCATATCACACTATTTCCAGTAGTTTGAGTTGCTTCCCAATGTCACCTGTGGGCTTGCCAAAAAGTATTCCTGTTCAATTCTTCTCAATTGAAAACAATTCAGCAAACCATAACATTAATCCAATGCTGGACAATAATTGGTGGTCAAGACCACAAATGCTAATGCTATTTCAGACAGACTTTCAGTCATAAGTCTAGTTGCTTGAGACTAGAGTATCAAAGCTTTAGTGATGCCACGCCACAATCACCTGAAGGTGTCTGTGGTCTCACTAGCATCATATTTCAAGATACATGAACTGACAGCTGCACAACTAATGCAGCTGCCATAACCTAGGTGGATACTGAATGCGAGGAAAAAGGTTTGCACTGCTTATGAATGGCAGAGAAGCAGCTTGATGGTTGAAAGTATTTATAAGTACATGGCAGTTGGCACATCTACCAATACACCAATATTGTATGATTTGCATCACCTGGGTGTATTCCATTCAGTCAATTTACAGAACCCTACACCAGAAATACTGGAAAAGGGTCAAATTAAGGCCTTTAATCAGCATCCTGGAATTGATGACATTGGGTGTGACACAACACCCTATGAGGAGGAATGTTTCACTCCTTTTCCTGATATTTGTCAACTTTTCACTCCTGCCTGATATTGTCTAATGGTGCATGCCAAATCCATATTTCCATCTCCGAGGCTTTCAGATGTCATCCAAAACCGAGCTCACTTGAAGCCACCAAGCATAAACAAGGCTCCACGGAACCTGTACACCTACGGCTATGTCCTGCCTCACTTACATCTGAATCATGTCTTTGACTGCACAATGCTAAATGTCTTGGTGGGCAATGGAAAAATAAATGGGTATAACTGTACTGATGAGCCATACTTGTG